AACGAAATAGGGTGAATACCTCTCATATTACTGATTTACTGGTAGTCTCGAAACTCTACTCAAATACAAATACAAGTAACGTAGTCAATTGTTATAGAAAATATACGTTTGCTTCATCGACAATCCCACCAAAGAATGGTGGCGAAAGGCCTGATCTTCCTTGAAATTCACATCAGCCCTGTGACCCAAGGGCACTAGTGGCAATGTAATCGAGTGGTTAACGTGTCAAGCTCCCCTTCTGCACTGTCATAGTTCGACTCCCGCTTAGGGTGTTGATAAAACCGATGCGAGGTCGAAAATGCAGTCCACCCTGAATGAGAACAACTTTTGGGAAAGCAAGGCAATGTGCAATTCAATGGAAGCGTCAGCTCTACTCATATAATTATGGGAAAATTCTACTGCCAGTCCTTCATCACCTTAAACGAAATAGGGTGAATACCTCTCATATTACTGATTTACTGGAAGTCTCGAAATTCTACTCAAATACAAAAATATAGTTGTGATAATTCCCACAATCTGGGAATGTACCAAGTCAACGGTGCAAAGCTAAAATTTATCATAATTATGGTAGCAGACGACCTCAGACAAGGTGAGCACAACTAGGTCCCTCTGACAACACGACCAAGCTTCCACGCCACGCTAAATCAAATGTCCGAGAAGTGTAATATAATCAAGTCTGAAGTTGTGATGGGGCGGGAGGGAGATGGAAGGGACAAAAGGAAGATGTTTACCTGTAATCATAGCACACCAGATCTTGGTAACTTGTGACATCTCTACCGGTGTTATGGTCAGTTTGGCTCATTAGTGAGCGGTGACTTGACTGCCTCAATGTTCCTGTTCTTCAGCCATGGCTTGATAACCAATTCTGGCGTCAACTACAACAGGAAAACTGTCAATGTTGAAGAGGATGTATGTGACGATGTTGTCTGCTCCTTTTACGTTGCGCAGAATTCGCGTGGGAAATACTTGTCTGAAGCGCTCTTAAAGGCTCCACACAAAGGCTTGTGATAATTTAGAATAAGGAATTACCTTCCAATTAACATCCAGTGAAGCATTTCACTGATCAATTCATCGCTCAACCTTTGCCCTGTCGGTGTTAATTTTAAAGAGTAAAAAGCGAGAGACTGAGGATTCCCATCAGCAACACGATAGAGTCCTCTATTAACAGCTCGGTCAAAGACGTCGGTAACAAGGTGAAAATCATCTCCTGAATTTGGATGTCAGAATGGTCACTTCAGCGAAGGCTGAATTATTATGCTCGAAAACGCGCTAAGCATCTTCAGACAAAGAGAAGTCCTTTTTAGATGCTTTAGTTACTCCTCTAAGCCATTCAACATGTATGCACAGTTCGGAAGTATAGCGACGGTAAAAAATTACCGAGCCGAAAAAAACTCTTAAAGCCTGGTGCGTAGAAGCGGAAAATCTACCCGCCTAACTTTGTAGCATGCAATGAGCATCAATACGATATCTGAGGAAAGTCAAGGAATCGACGCCAAATACGCTTTGCTAGGGAAAATCATTAAATAGAGGTGAAATAGTAGTGCAACCAAATGCTGCTTGCACTGATTCGTATCATAACTAGCAACGAGTATATCGTCAATGTAAACGAAACCTCCTGTTAGACCCTGATTACTCTCGTCCATATAGGTTCCACTTGAGGATCAGAACCAGTGTTGGCCTAAACATGCCAAAATGACTGACTTATTAGCTACTAAAACTTCAGCCTCTAATAAAAATTCCATTCTCCGTCATTCTGAAGATGTGAATTCGAATATTCTTTGCTTAAACATCTCATAGTAATCCTATTTCTATCTATTGGGTAAGGTAGGCGATATTATCCGGAAGATAACTCTAAGGAGTTTTGTTTCATATATATTGAAGCGATGAGTTTTAAATATCAAGCAAAAGTTGTAGATTAGATCTGTTTAAGGTGGGCACTGTGACGTTTTAGATATGAAGAGTAACTAGGTTTCAATGAATCTCCTGAAATAACATTGTTAAGGAGACTTTCATTTCATATCAATTTATGTGAAGTAGAGATTCGTAGGTCGAGCTCACCAGATGAGGAGGGCTGAATGCCTTTGTACATTGAGAATAATATCTCTATACTAAAAAATAACTTTTCAGACGGAGGTTAATTAGTCAAAGCTAGACAAACTGAAGCCGTTGTCATTTCTTAATTTTGCCGTCATGCCTTCTTTCAAAAAAGAAAGGCGAATTAGTGAGAAAGTGGGGGATAAAAGTAGTGTTTAAAGAAAGCCTCACATTTTATCCTCTTATGCTATTATGACAAATTATCGAGATCTGGGTGAGACAAGATTGTTTACTGCTGTGGTCGAACTTATGTCGGGAAGAAATTCCAACATATTCGACGAATATTGGGGAAAAAGGAAGTTTGTAAAGGAAGTTAGGTCGAACTGTCAGCCATGGCCGAACACATGGCAGAGACTGGACATGAGATAGAATTGTCTCAAACTAGTAGGTTTGCTGATTATGTTACGTAGGCTGTTAAAAGAAAGATAAGAAAGGCTATGGAAATTAAACAATTAGGAAATATGTAGAAGTGAGGAAAGTGGTATAAAATTGAGTAGGAAATACTTATGCCTGTGGCATGACTCTCCATTTCGAAGAGAAAGTTGGTTGGAAGGAATTAGTGATGTGGTCTTATCGAAAACCGGAGGATTACCGTGTAGGGAGAACTGTTTAATTGTTTGAACAATCCCTTGGCTCGAAAATATGAAGACCAAGATGGTGTGGCCTTTTGTGTGGTCGCAATCCCTTGGCTCACTGTCCTGCGAGTACGATGAAACTGTGCTAACCTTTCGTCTTTACTGTGACAGACAAAATCAGAGCAAGATTCCATACTTTACAAAATAAAGCAAAAAATACTAAACCAAGAGAAAAGGTTGCCGGATGCAAACATAGTCGGGTTTTTATATATTTAATATCGCGATCTTAATGAGGCATCACATGATTTGGGTGGCTACTTCATACTTACCAAACATGTAAAGAAGTTGTTTGACCTTGTTTACGCAACATAGTCATATTGGTAGAAAGACTTAGAGGCAAGCACCTAGTCCGAAGTCCATTGTCTTCATGATCATTTGCAAAGTTGAAGCGTGGACGTGTTACATTTCCAAACGTTTT